TCATATCCCCTCTGAGGAGCTGTTTTTCCAAACTAAAAGAGATTTAAATTTTTTTTAACTTTTCTTCATAACTAAAATGCTCCATTCCTTTTATAACTTTTGTAGCTTGTCTCTGCACTTTTTCTAATGCCATGATATCCTTCTTTAGAACAGGTGCCCAAAATTGCACAGCATATTCAAGATGTGGTCTCACCAGCAATTTATAAAGAGGCAAAATTATACTTTCATCCCGAGAATTTATGCCCCTATTTATACATGACAAAACCTTACTGGCCTTAGCAACTGCAAATTGACATTGCATATTGCTGCCTAATTTGTTGTCTATAACGATTTCCAAATCCTTCTCATGTGTAGTTATCAGTAATTCACTACCATTTAAGGTGTAAGTTGCTTGTGCATTCTTGACCCCAAAGTGCATAACTTTGCATTTCTGTACATTAAATTTCAGCTGCCATTTTAGTGCCCAGTCCCCCAATCTATGCAAATGCCTCTGCAGCAAAGCAATATCCTGCTCACACTTACTTTACAAAGTTTTGTGTCATCTGCAAACACTGAAACATGGATTTCAATGCCTATTTCAAGATCATTTATAAAAATGTTAAATAGAAGTGGTCCCAAAACAAAACCCTGAGGGACACCACTTACCACTTTTGTCCAGCCTGTAAATTTACCATTAATGACAACTACCCAAGAACAAGAATATTCATCTAGACCAATTTCCTTTAGTTTGAAGACTAACCTATTGTGAGGAACCGTATTAAATGCCTTGGCAAAATCCAAGTAGATCACATACACTGCAACACCCTGATCTATACTACTTACTTCTTCATAGAATGCAATTAGGTTAGTTTGACATGACCTATGTTTCATAAAACCATGTTGATTATTGCTAATAAAGTTCTTCCCAATTAATTCTTGAATATTATATGGTCCACAAAAGCAAGACAATCACAGGTTCATTGAATTTCATATAAAATAGCCAAACTGGAAAAATTATTTCAATCAGGTATGTTTTGACTTCAGCACATTGGCCTTACATTTGAATGAGAATTGTGGAGTATTTAAAGTGGACCTCAAAATTCTCCTTGTCAACTATGCTTCCAGTAAGCTACTATGGTCCATTGTATTGGTTATGGTGTCAGGTTTGCTATGACACAGTTCTAGTTTAAAGAAGCTTTGCATAATTTGCAAAGACCAGCAGTGGTGAACTTGCTGCTTAGGGTCTGGTGGCTGCAGGGAAAGGTGAGTTTTACTTACCTGAACCTGTCACTCGTGGCCGCCCTTTCTGCATCTGCTGGGTGCTTTTCAGCTCCTAGAACTTCAACTGCCAGTAGCACATGTTAGTGCTGTATTCCTATTACACATGCTTGAAAGTACAGCACCGAGATCTATGGAGAATCCTGTGAGTGAGAGCACAGCAATGAGATCGATGGAGGACTCGCTGATGAGCGAGACAATGCTTATACCCCAAACTGTCGTTAGCAGGAGCTCTGCCTTTTATCAAATTGGGTGAAAAATAGACATGGCAAAGTAGTCCCACATTTTACTTTATGTATTTTATGAATAGAAAGAACGCAATAGGTGTGAAAAGAAGAGGTACAGACTGACGTTAGGCAAGTATAGGGTTACCGAGCGGATCCAAGAATTCGCACTGACAATGCGCAGGTTCATCGAGGATAATAGACGCTCTAGTCCAGGTGCAGGGGAGAGTGGCGGGGTGTCTGGCGGTCCCCAGGTAAGTTGTCACACTGTTTTATTTACTCCAGGAGAGAGCCAGAGCATCCCTGCCACCATAACAACTACATTAGCCTGCATGAGTTATAACGCACAGAGTTCATTTAACCCCTTAAAGGCCAAACTTATGTAGTAAAAGGGAATCAAACTTCTGTAGTAAAAGGGAATGTGTCCTTAAAGGACCACTCTAGGCACCCAGACCTCTTCAGCTTAATGAAGTGGTCTGGGTGCCAGGTCCAGCTAGGGTTAACCCATTTTTTCATAAACATAGCAATTTCAGAGAAACTGCTACCGTGTTTCTCCGAAAATAAGACCGGGTCTTATATTAATTTTAGTCACAAAAAACACACTAGGGCTTATTTTCAGGGTAGGGCTTATTTATTTACGGTACCGGTATGTACAGCTTTTTCTCTTTGCACTCATCTTGTCTGGGGATCAAAATACCGTACTGTCTAATTAATCCACCCCCCCTCTAATTAATCCACCCCCTCTAATTAATCCACCCCCTCTAATTAATCCACCCCCCTTTAATTAATCCAGCCCCCCTTTAATTAATCCACCCCCCCTCTAATTAATCCACCCCCCTTTAATTAATCCACCCCCTTTAATTAATTCACCCCCTCTAATTAATCCACCCCTTTAATTAATCCACCCCCCCTTTTTACCCCACCCTTTAATTAATTAATTCCACCATCCCTTTACTTTAATTTAATTCTAATTAATCCACTCACCCCTTTAATTAATCCACCCCCCCTTCACCCCCTCTAATTAATCCAGCCCCCCTTTAATCCAGCCCACCCTTTAATTAATTCACCCCCCCTTTAATTAATTCAGTCCCAGACATAAAATATCTACTCACATTTCAAAGATTCCTTGCCCGCCGAGTCCGACCACTGGGTGCCTCACCGCCCGGAAATGGATCCTTCCGCTGAAGATCCGTGAAGGCAGACTGACGGCGCTGCGAAAGGTCGTCATCACGTTGCGCGATGCCGCGGCCCGCAACGCTCCTCCCCCTCCTCCTCATACGGTAGAAGAAGGAAGTCTCGCCGGGCCGCAAGGTGCAATGCCTAGGTCTTATTTTCGGGGTAGGGCTTATATTGCAGCCCACCCCGATAATCCAGCTAGGGCTTATTTTCGGGGTAGGGTGTATTTTCGGGGAAACAGGGTATGTTTATGAATGGGTTAAGCCTTCCCCTATTTCCTCTAGCGGCTGTCTCATTGACAGCCGCTAGATGCGCTTGCGTGCTTCTCACCGTGAAAATCACAGTGAGAGCACGCCAGCGTCCATAGGAAAGCATTATGAATGCTTTCCTATGTGACCGGCTGAATGCGTGCGCAGCTCTTGCCGCGCATGCGCATTCAGCCGACAGGGAGGAGAAGAGGAGGATCGGAGGAGGAGAGCTCTCCACCCAGCGCTGGAAAAAGGTAAGTTTTTACCCCTTTCCCCTTTCCAGAGCCGGACTGGAGGGGGTCCCTGAGGGTGGGGGCACCCTCAGGGCACTATAGTGGTCCTTTAAGGGGTTAAGTCTGACAATTCCCACTTTGGTGAATATCCCTGCTAGTTATCTGGACAGAGCTTACTGCCATCACTGGTCCACTCATTGGTGACTGTATGGACAATACTACAGTGAGGGCAGCTCATGGCACCATCCTCCTCCCCCAGGACCAGTATGGACAAGCCCCATGCTGTCACACTCACGTTCTGCCCCAGTTCTTTGTAATCCGAATCACGTGACTGTCTTGGCGCCAGAGTGACGTAACCGCGTGCCCGGCTCTCTATAGGCTAACAGGTTGGGCATGATGCCACCGTGCCGCCATGACTGATAGTGGCAATTCAACAGCAACAAATAGCGGGTAACAATTACATATACAAAGGGAAAAAAAAAACAACCCCGCTACTGTCTAGTCAAAGTATAACAGAAACCCGAAAACCACTAACAGCCCTTCGTATTATAGCGTAGACCCATTTAATGATTTCCGACAGGAAGTAAGATGGCCGGCCCGGCTTCTCCGGGGCAAGCTTTCGTGCGGTGACGTCACGCGCGCTGTCATTCGCCGTTGAGTTTGGCGCCACACGGCTCGGGGCAGTCGGCGCGCGGGCAGACAGGCAACTAACTGTGTGCGGGCTGGGAGCGCGGGATCCTCGGCAGCAACATGGCGACTCCAGGGCTCAGCGAGGGGGCCATAGCGGTAAGTCGCCAGGCGGCCAGCACAGTCTGGGCTACCTAGTGACGCACGAAGTTTGAGCCACTTCTCCACGCTGCCGGCTGGCACATGAAAAGGGCTGCCCTGCACTATGCAGCGCTCGGGTTTAATGAGGAGGTCTCAGGATTGTTACAGTGTTATTAGTTATTAGTTAGCTTCTATTGTGGGTGACTGTTGCATATTATACCATGCTGCACTTTTCATGTGCTGCCCATCAGCATGTAGGAGCTATAAATGTTTGGGGGCACTAGGTGGATCTGGGCATAGGGCCCATGGGTTATGGTAACCACAAGGCTATTATTGTAATTTATATTAATATTAAATTAGGCTATAGGCTTCCTAGGGCCCAGGGGTTATGGTAACCACAAGGCTACTATTATTGTAATTTATATTAATATTAAAGAAGGCTATAGGCTTCCTAGGGCCCAGGGGTTATGGTAACCACAAGGCTATTATTATTGTAATTCATATTAATATTAAAGAAGGCTATAGGCTTCCTAGGGCCCATGGGTTATGGTAACCACAAGGCTATTATTATTGTAATTCATATTAATATTAAAGAAGGCTATAGGCTTACTAGGGCCCATGGGTTATGGTAACCACAAGGCTATTATTATTGTAATTCATATTAATATTAAAGAAGGCTATAGGCTTACTAGGGCCCATGGGTTATGGTAACCACAAGGCTATTATTATTGTAATTTATATTCATATTAAAGAAGGCTATAGGCTTCCTAGGGCCCAGGGGTTAGGGTAACCACAAGTCTACTATTGTAATTTATATTAAAAAAGGCTATAGGCTTCCTAGGGCCCATGGGTTATGGTAACCATAAGGCTATTATTGTAATTTTTATTAATAAAGACTATAGGGTTCAGAGTTTTTGGTAACCATAAGGCTATAGGCTGCTACCTAGGACATGAGGTTTAGAAGGGGCCCGGAACCATGCATTGTGCATGGCACTATTCACCATGCCTATGTTAAAGGATCATTACAGTGTCAGGAAAACAAAGCGTTTTTCCTGACACTATAGTGCCCTAAGGGTGCCCCCCTCCCGTGGCGTTGAAGGGGTTAAAACCCCTTCAGTAGCTTACCTTATTCTAGCGCCGGGCTCCCTCGGCGCTGGTGACCTCTCCTTCCCCGCCGACGTCAGCGGAGCCGAATGCGCATGCACCGCAAGTGCTGGGCGTGCTTTCAAAGTGTCCATAGTAAAGCATTTCTCAATGCTTTCCTATGGACGTTCTGCGCGATGGAGGCATAATATTCCAATAGTGTTGCAGATGCGCCTCTAGTGGCTGTCAGGAAGACAGCCCCTAGAGGCTGGCTTAACCCCAAATGTAAACATAGCAGTTTCTCTGAAACTGCTATGTTTGCATCTGAAGGATTAAAACCTGAGGGACCTGGCACCCAGATCACGTCATTGAGCCTAAGTGGTCTGAGTGACTATAGTGTCCCTTTAAGAATGAAAGGACCAAATAGGTTGCCTTCCCTGGGCCCTGTGGGATCTAAATCCTTCCCTGCTAGTAACCCTATTTACTGAACATGGTTGAAAACTTTATTAACAAAGGAATAACTCTTTTGACAGATTTGTGTTTGTTTTTTACGGTTAAGAGGTAATTGCCTTTAGGATGTGATACTGTGGCATGTAAGTCCTAAGACTTGGGGGAAAAAAATTGGCAGGGAGTATTTACTAACCTATTTAAAGCGGCACTGTCTCTTTTGGAATCTCTTCATTTTCTGCAAAGCAGCCAAAAATCTGCTTAAAATATTGCACTAGCTGTAGAGATATACTTAAAGAAACACTTTAGTGTTAGGAATACAGATATATTTTTAATATTATAGTATCCTAGTTACAACCCCCCATGAGAAATAGTGGAGTTTTATTTATTACTATTTATTCATGGTTCTACCTTTTAATGGTTGTCAATATGACAGCCACTAGAGGCAACAACAGCATTGCCATTTGGGAGGGGGCATGGCACCCAGACCACATCATTGAGATGAAGTGGCTTGGGTGTCTGTGTTCCTTTAACAGCTTGCTCCAAGGCATTGCTTTTTGCTGGTGTCACTATTTGTATTCTTGCATGAAAATTATGAACGAGGTCTGTGTGTGTTTGTAGTAATCATGCACCTGCTGCTTAGACACAAAATATGTTCAGTTATTTGCATTTGTATTCCATGAGAACATCCAGCGTCCGTGAAATCCCCATAAGAATGCAATGAGTCAGTGCTTTCCTATGGGGAGGGCCTAATGCGCTTGCCGTACTTGCGCATTAGTACCTCCGATCAGAAGAAGTTTGCAGGCTCTACGAAAATTGGCACCTTATCCAACTCCAGTCTGACAGGTTTACCTGAAATTATATCCCAGACACCAAAATATTGTATTGACAAATCCACGGTGAAATTTTAAAGGCAAACTGCTTTTCAAACAAAATATCCAATTGAAGCGGTCATGATATGTATGGCATGTGAATCCAGTAGTGACTATACATGGGTGTTTCGGATTTATCGAAGGAAGGATAGCCATCTTGACCCACCAGGATGCCCTGATACGATACTTCCTCTGTTTAATGAGGGTAATCATCAATGGGTTGGTAACTACTATACCAGTATGTATTTATTTAAATTTTTTTGTTTCAATGCCCTATCATGTTGCACAGTGCGTGAAACACGCAGAGCTTTCCCTCTAACCCTGTAAAGTAGCAGAAGCTGGCTCCTCTTCAGCTCGATGCTAAGAGTATGTGATGGCCCTTCGGTTCACATATAAGAAAGATGTATACATGCTGTCTACAATGCACAGTGAAAGTACAGTGCTAGTGTCTGTCATAGAAAGAAGTGATCAGCTGGAAAACCCAAAGTTGTAGAGTTCAGCAAGTATATGGGGGACTGTACTTCGTTGATGAATGTAAATGACATTATTATTATTATTATTATTTATTTTACTATTTATATAGCACCAGCAAATTCCGTAGCGATGTACCTTATCTGGTGAACCAAAAAAAGTAGGCCCTCGTACAAGGAAATTGCAGTCTTTTTAAGCCAGATTGCAATTTTCACATTTTACGTGCCCTATAATAATAAGTAGCAATAGGCAAGCCATAATCGTTTCATGTTGAAGCTTATGTCCGATATTTTACTTCATCTTAAAGTTGTTGTAGTGCCTTTTTCAGTCTTGAATTAATGTATCTCCCAGTTGGAAGAATCTAATCCATCCGCTCCTTTATAGAGAAGCATTGAAGATCTAATGTGCATGCTTAGCGACAGCCGCTCGCACTTTCAAGCTTCCCTGTAGCAAAGCATTTAATTAATGCTTTCCTCTGTGGGAATCTACGTCTGTATTACTTGGTCAGTGCTGTGGAAGCACCTTTAGTGGCTATTCTACTGAGAGGAGGACTTAGAGTTGAATTTGTCATGACAAATACCCTTTATCTTAAATGATAGATTCAAATGTCGTCTATACATTGTTCTTGCAGAATTGTTTGTAAATATCTAAATTTCTTCAACATTACATGTTAAAATAGAAAACTAGCCGTTTCCTCCTCCTGTCAGTCTGTGCCGAACCGCCTAAGTGAAAGAAATGGCCTGCAAGGGGAAGAAGGGAGGAGTGTAGCAGCAGAGCGGAGAGAAATAGCCAGAATGATTTATTGCAGCATCTTTGGACAGGCAATCTGAGAATGGAGTGAGAGAGAACAGATAATTGTAGATTATGCTAACATAGTGTACCTATAATTTTAATATTAGTAATGACAGGAGGTGAATATTTTGCATTAATGGGACACTATAGTCACCAGAACTAAGCTTATTATATTTGTTCTGGTGAGTATAATCAATACCTTTAGGATTTTAGCAGTAAACACTCTTTTCAGAGAAAATGCAGTGTTTCCATTACAGCCTAGGGATACCTTCACTGGGGTGGGTGGCGGGGAGTAGATGGGGATTTAACACTTTAGGGTCAGGAATACATGTTTGCGCTCCCGACCCTATAGTGTTCCTTTAACTTTCTTTACTCAAACTTCAACAGCAGAGATCAATTATAACATTTTTAACCTATCAGCACAAAGGTTCATGACATGTATAAAGCCTTAACTCCTTTTTCTTTGATGTGAGAATTCTCCAACAGAAACATGAATGTAGAAACAAAAGGAGCAGAACAAATCCAACTGACTGAGGAGAGAGAAGGTATCAGTTGTATTAGGAACATCCAAACCTCGGGCAAGACTGCGAAATTTCCCATTCAAAAGAACATAAATAAGTGAAAGGCAAAAGTAATGATGTTGTGGCAGTATAAACCATAGCGAGTAATAAGTTACCAGTGTAGAATAGTAAAAGATGACTACAGTAGGTAGAAAACTATCATATTCAATAAAACAAATCACATATACAATATATCAGTGGATACACCTTCCCAGTGCAAATATAAAAAATTAGGTAATATTACCATATATCATCATATATTGGGTAATTTTCTATATTTGCACTGGGAAGGTGTATACACTGATATATTGTATATGTGATTTGTTTTCTGTGTTTGGTGTATGTGGGAAGCACCATTATATCAGTTACACTACCCGCACAGTATCTTAGCTACATACCAAATTTACATCAAAATAGTGAAGCGCCTACACACTATTTATTTTTTTAGTATATTCATAAAACACCAGTGAGATAAGCCATAGCAAAGAATAGGGCTTAGAAGGGAGGAAAAACTCGCCTTCTATCATTATTAAAATTTATAGGTACACTACGTTAGCAGAATCTACAATTTTACAACATGACAGGAGGCTTACTATTTTGAATTTTCAGAGGAAGCAATGCGAAAGAAGCATTAGCAGAAAGTCGAAAGTAAAAGTTCCAAAAAGTTCCTTCAAGATCAGTCCAAGGAACACATAATATCGGCAAGAGAACAAGCATATGGAATGCGCACCAAAGCAAGAGTCGAAACCGGCTAACGATAGAAGCCAGTGAACCCATCTTGCTAGTGTTGTTGTAGAGACCAGCCAATGTGGTTGCACATACGAGATGTGTAGATGACCAGTCAGAGCATGATGCAGCATAGTGGTAATCTCCACACAGTGAATTAATGTCTTAACAATACAGTCATGGAGCCATTGGCTGACAGTCCAAGTTCTTTAGTGGCCATATTTGAGTATTGCGTCACTTCGTAAAAGCACCTCTTGGTGCAGAGAGCAGCGTTGGTATTTCCTAGTAGGCAAATACTGTGTTGGGTCTATTCACACACTACGTGTGGGTCAAGCAGGGTACCATGCTTAAAGTGCAACATTTTCATCAAAGGGCCCAGTATTTCAAGTAATTTATCTTGGAATGCTTTTAACTCCTCCACTTCTTGCAGGGATTGTGTCCAGTCCGGGACAGAAAGATCACCACTGTCTTTTGTCGGGCAGTAAACGTTGCAGGCATGCTGCTCGTAGATGAGCACTGACCTCCCAATCTATAGGCTGTCTGATCCAGAAGTTGATTCATTTAGCCAAATGAGAAGGGAAGCTCCACTCCGAAAATCTCGGGTGCCATCTGGTTCTTGGGCCTAGTGGACATCCCTAAGTTTCCAGGAAAAGTCCATCTACCTCTTGCGAGTTAGAATCATGTGCCTAGTCTAGAGGAAAAGGGTTGATGCAAACAACTCCCTGACACATTTAGAACCATAGGAGGCAGGTTCTGCCAGTTATTTTCACCCTCTGACGCGGAATCATCTGCACACCATTCTTCCAGAACTTTCCATGTGGCAGGAGGTTAAGCATCTTCCTCATTGGAAGACAGCTTTCGAGGGGGTGGTTCTGACACAGCCACTCATTTGGGGCTCTTAATAGGCCCTTTTCCCCTTGGTCTTAGAAGGAAGTACAGGGACGTCTTTCCTGTGGTGTTTGAGAGGCGGGAGATCTCTCTGAGCACATGGTGTCATCTTTCCGCGGCAGAATCTGGCCCATGGACTGGGTAGGTACCTCGTGAGGAGGTTGAGTAAGACTTTTGGAGAGAACTTTCCCACTGAAGCTGCAATTGCAGCGTTTTCATGGACTGGAAGTCCTAGGTTTGAGGTGGTGAATCACTCCTGTTGGAGTGTGAAATGTCCTGTGGAGGAGAGGATGTGTGTTAATAGCCTGTTTTGGCGTTGGCAAGGCCTGACGGGGAGTCCCCTTGACAAGTACAATTGAGGTACTCCCAGAGTTAAAGGCAGCACCAACCCCACAAATCCGTAGATGAGTGTCTCATGAAATAATGTGAGGAATAACCCTTCGCTGCCGGTCACATTGACCGGCTAATATGGCAGGGACTGACACCTTGAAGTATGGGGAAGCGCTGACATCTTGCTAGTGTTGCAGTAGAGACCAGCCAATGTCTCTCTACTACAACACTAGCAAGATGTCAGCGCCTATAGGAAAGGGGGTTAACCCTTTAACCCCCTGACATTCGGGGTGGGAACCAGGAGCTGGATTTTAATCCGCTTTAAATGGATAGTCATCCCAATTGGGTTAGTGGTAGCTAAAATGGGGGCTTACCCACTATATAACACAGTGTACCAAGTCAGTATGATATAAATCTTTACTTTATGGGAAAAGCATCTCCAATCCTTCTAAGGGATATTCCCAGGTAGTAGAGTAGATCCTTTGTTGAAGGGGAATTCAAAGAGCAGGAATACTTAGAGTAGGAGGTAATCCTCTGAAGTAGCAGAGGTTAAACACATTGAGCCCAAGTGAGATCCAAGCTGAAAAAACAAAATGGCCGGCGTGAATCTCGCGTCATTGTGAGATCCAAGATGGCCGCTGCATGTGAGGACCCGCTAGGAACAACTCCCACGGGCCCGTGCGATCAGTGGGAAAGCAGCCGGAGGTTTCCTACTGCCCCTATACCCAGCTGAAAAAAAACAGAAAAGGGTATAGCTCAAGAGAAAAATTGTGCCGCAATTTCAATATGACATAGAAAAGGGATCCCATTACAAACGGGCAGAAGACAGAATAAAGGTTAGGAAGTTACAGTAAAGTTTGCTTACTGTAAATAATAGCCTGGAGAAGAGGGCATGAAGGTTTGCCAGGGCATACATACAGTAAATGTTTTGTAAGGATACAAGAAGGGGGAAGGGAAGCCCAGAGAGAGACGGGATACCAATGTAGGCCAGAGAGGCCTGGGGATACATTAAAGGCTTGAGAGGTTAGTAGAACTTTTAAGGAGTGGCAGGGCTAGGATAGATTATCACCACAAAGTCAAATAAGCAGTACTATAGAATCAATACACAGCAGGTGCAGCAAAGAAAGAGGAGTAAAGGCTGTTTAAGCTTTACACGTCATGATTTTTTGTTTCTGATTGGTTAAAACTTTTGTGATTGATCTGTGCTGCTGGAGAGTGGGTAAAGAATATTAATGCAAAATATTAAGCCTCCTGTCATGTGGTAAAATGTATTTACATACCATAAAGCCAAAATAGTGTTGGAGACTCTTAATCTATTATGGGAAGAAAGTATGTGGGAATGGTGTGTCTTATATTAAACTTGGCTATTCAATCAAATTAAATCATACAGACCATTTGATTGGTGCTGCACATGCTATCTTCCCAATGTTTCCCTAAGGGGAAATCTTGTATTGGCTGAGATAATCTTCTACACTGATCTCTGCCAAAGTGGCGGAGGGTGGTAAGAGAAACTGGTGCGACAATGGTTTAAAGTTAAGTAATGCTCACCTTTCAAACCCTCATACAGGGTGTAGGGGTCCTAAATAGTTCTCAGAAACTATAACACTGTAGTGTTTCTTTTTCCACTTGCAACAGAATTCCTTCAAACTGAACAGCAAGTGTATTTGCAGTGTTATACATGACTAATCCGTGAAGAAAGAAATTAGAAGCATGGTGAATAAACATTGATTATTTAAAAAACAAACAAAAAAAAAAAACAGATTTATTCATAATTTTTAATGGTTTTGCAGGGAAAAAAAAATCTATCTAAAGATAGTTTTCAATTCAAGATACACAATAGTCCTGAGGTTATTTAGCATGATATGTGTGGATTAGTTATGTATCATGAGGCTGTATACTATTTGCATCTTTGGGGAATGGATTCCATTAATCCAAGCTAATTGAACTTGTCTTCAGAGATAACATGCACTTTTGCACAACGTTATAAAATAAGCCTACAAAGTTCTGAAGAAGACCTTAATCCCATTGTTTTAAGTTGTTTTCCAAGCATGATCGATAAGCCTATTTATTAATCTGGACGTACTTCAGCTTGCAATAATGTTGTCATTGCCTATATGTGTAGTTCTAATTAAATATAACAATCAGATGTGATATTAATATTGATTGTTAAACTAATCTGAAAAATTATAAATATGAAATCTTCTTTTGGCAGCAAATTTTAAAGCTTACAAGAACCAGCAAGAATGAGTATTTACATTTAAAAAACATCATGATAAAAATTGAACCTTGCAGTGATTGTAGTCAAATCCATTCTGTTTACATGTACTTAATCAACAGCATTGTGGGAGAACTTAAATGAAGCTAGCAGACAATCTTTACTCTGGAGGGCTGGTAGAGTAAGATAAATGTGACTTTTTTTTTTTTTTTTTAAATTCTCTATATTCTAGTTATTAAAAATAGGATTTGCTTGGACAATATATTGGTCATGAGGAAACTAACATTTGAAGTAAAAACAATTTTATTTTTACTGGCTAGTTGTTTAGAGATATATATGTATGTAATTGATATCTTGATGTTGGTTTATTTACAGGCTATCTTGCAAGGAGATTCTACGTCCAAGCCAACACTTCAAGTCATTGTAAGTGGAAAGTTAAAAAAGTGTCTTTATTTTACTGCATTGTATAATATACTGTACTTACTGTTTGTAATATTCACAAGTGCATCACTTTAGATTCATGGATGTGACAAATGTGAAAAAAAAAAAGGAACCTATTAACACTAGAGTGCCAGGAAAACGAGTTTGTTTTCCTGGCACTGTAATGGTCCATTAAACGCATTGAAAATGGTATAAGACTGAATGGTGGGAACATAACTTAGGTCCCAAAGTGTTTGATGCAATGAGAATGGTCACAGTGGCACAGAACAAAAGCATTTGCCATTTGTTCTATGTGCCTCCGCATCCCCTATTACAACAGGTAATAAAAATGTCTTGAAGATGTAGAACAGCATTGTAAATATATTGGGACAGGGTTGGTGTGGCAGAATTTAATGTAGAAGCCTTTTTATTCAATTTTAACTAATATTTCTTAATTTCTTTCCTTAGAATATTCGTCCAATCAGTACTGCAAATGGCCCCCCTCGTTATCGCCTGCTAATGAGCGATGGCTTAAATACACTTTCATGTAAGTATTTTATTTGTAAAGTATTTTACCAGGATGGGTACATAAGATTTCTCTAATTTTCAAGTATGTCCTTGAGCCCACAAACATTGCATTGTTACAATATAAAATATTAAAATATATATAATTTTTTTTAATTTTTTTTTTTTAAAAACAGAACAGGTAAGAAATATCGACTGTGATCACAGGTGCATTTTGCTTTGAGATATGTAGAGGGATCTCTTAAATAATCTTCGGCTGGGGTAGATTTGAAAGTGTCCAGGAGTTTATTCCATAATTGCGGTGCTCTGTAGGAAAATGAAGATCAAGACACTTTTTTTATTGTGGCATACTAAATAAAGTGCTGGTATTGGATCAGAGGCTAAAGGGAGTGGGAACAGCTGGGGAGAGCATTCCACGTGGATAGGATGGGGAGCTTCCCAGAAAAGCTCAAAGCTGTAAAGATGAAGGGTGCGTCTTGTAGCGAACCCCGGGTAACTTAATTAGTTACCTCCTCTATTTCTCCTCTCAGCCAGACTGGAAGCGTGTATGATTTATCGCTCTCTTCCTCCATTTTCATTATCATTATCAATTTTAAATATTTTGCTCATAAACTTTTTAGTCTTTTGATATTCTTAAAGTTTTTGCATAAGGGTGGTTTTGCTCAAAATGACAATGTAATTTAGCATGTGCTAACGAACTGTTTGGCAATATTTTCTTGCAAAGTAAGGCTTGTGCTTGAGGATTATTATTATTTCTGGCACTTGTGAATCCAAATGATAAGTAGTTGTCGTCATATTTTCTTTTCTTTGTTTGAGAAGATTTGGTAGCATTGTGTGCTTTTTTTTTTTTTGACTTGTCTCTATTTGAGAAACCGTAGATTCAACTATTTCGAACCGTTTTTCTGGATTTCTTGTTGTATCGTCTTTCTCAGTTTCTATATGTGTCGAACAGTTAGAAGTAGTAATTTTTCTCTTGACAGTTCCTTGTTTTAACCAGATGTCCAAATTCATGGTTGTTGGTAAAAAAAAAAAATACAGATCTCACTACGTGACTGCAATGCATGCTGTTTCTTATAAAGCTCTTAAAAAGAATATAAAGTAAGTAGGATTTGGAGTCAGTCTTGGAACAAACAGATTAGAACACTTTAACAGACCTGACTACCTCACTGCAAAGGATGCTGTTTTTTCTTTTTGTTTTTTTTATAAAGCCCTTGGAAAGAAATTAACGCAAGCAGATTTTTGGCTCAGTCTTGAAGTAAAAAAAAATAGCTTTTTTTTTAGCTTTAGGACACAATACCATTGTTTTGTAGCTTCACGGAGATTTTTACAATTTACAAAAGCAGGTCAGTGACCTCTCTTCTACCGATGCAACCCTCAGACACCAACTAGCTGCACTGGAAGACCAAAGAAGGTGGAAACACCTGAACATTAGAGGCCTAGCAGACAGCGTCACCAGCGCAAAACTGCCTCATTTTGTACGCAGACTTTTTGCAGCCCTCCTGCCGCCTAAACAGGCAAAAGGCATGTTGTAAGACAAGATGTTCAGTCTCCCTAAGCCTCCCATCAGCCGCGGGTTCAACTACTAGTGTCCTACTAATAAAAGACAAGGCCGCCATCTAGAATGCAACTAGAGAGAAATCCCAATATCGGTTTGAAGAAATGGACCTTGCCCTTTTCTCCGACCTTTCCTGCACGACACAGCAATGGAGAAAATCACTACGTCCTCTCACAAGACTTCTGTTGAATCAAAGCGTTAAATATTCTCATCGTACAGCACCAGAACGTGGAATACAAAGTGTCCGATGACTCAGAGATGCTATCCTGACCAGGCTTGGTCTGCCTCGCATCTCCATATCTTCAACTCCAGCCTGGGACCCGACCACCATAATCCAATTTGTACCAGCAACCAAGAGCAAGATCACTGTGGCAGTTATCTGAATGCAGCACTCTCTTTTAGGTTTTTATGCCTTATTTACAAAATCTTTCTACCTTTACAAAAAGAGACTTATGCGTTTTAAGTTTATCAGTTAAGTTATATATAGTTTTGTTTCTTGGGGTTTTACCCTACTAAGTTTATGGGAAAGGCTCTTGATACCCCTGTGGCTTTCCTGGGTCATGACTGGGAATAACCCGGTTACGCTAGCTCCCCTATTACCACCGACACCCTAGCTCCGCACACATAGTTTCTCATTTACTCCAACGTATGGAGATGCCATCATTGATCGCATCGCTTCCCCTATTTTTAAGATCATACTTGCCTTTTTTTTTTTTTTTTTAATTGTTCTGTTTTCTATTTTGAACATTGCCGTGCCTTTATACTGAACCTACAGTTTATATAACACCTACACTAAGTGCTTAGGTGCGGCTGTTTGCGGGGGGGGAGGGGGGCGGCGGCATAGCACGTCTCCGCCGTCCTTTCTACTTACCCGGTCGCCGGCGATCCCATGCCAGCGATTGGTGTGGGGACTCGCCTAGCTGCCCAGGGAGTCCCCCTCCTTCCTTTCCGGCCTTCCTGGGCCATGTGATCGCGAGGACCTCGCGATCACATGGACTGCATAACCGTCCATGTCAGTGCCAGCAGGGGGAGTGCTTGTAATGACAGGTACTCCCCCTGCTGCCTGTAAAAAAAAAAAAAAAAAAAAAAAAAGGTACTTAGATCATATATATTTATATACACACATACACTAAGTGTATTTTAATATTAATATAATTGTGTGTGTGTATATATATATATCTCAAAGTAGACATAGAATATTGATTAAATATATATACCATATATTATATATAGAATATAAAATAAACATATGTAAATAAATGTGTAATTTCATTCTAACTGTAGTTTAAAATACAAATATATATGCACGCACACACACACACACACACACACACACACACACACACGTAGAACAAAATATATATTTGTATTTTATTATACACACACACATATATACAATGTCTTGATGGAGAGCACTCACAGGACTCCAGAATATTTCAAAAGTGCTTTTTATTTCAGCAATCAATGTTCAAATACAAAGTGTTGACGTTTCAGTCCAACCGGACTTTTATCAAGACAATTTAACAGTGTTATACAACTCCTTTAAATATGCAGTGCTCAAACATTCATTGGAGGGTGTTAAGGATGAAAACGAGGTTGAGTGATGTCATTAATGACGTATCTCAATTCAAATGAGCCATCTGTGTAATTAATCCCCCAATTCCCCAGAATAAAATGATATATGTGTGGGTGCACATAATATGAAAGAGGCGAATTACGCCTGAACAGACATATAGCGCAAATTCCAGTTTTTGTTTACGTTTTGTTTTGATCACAACATGTACATTTGGCTCAGTCCTTAAGGGGTTAATAACATTTGTTTATTTCTTTGCAGCTTTTATGCTGGCCACCCAGCTGAATTCACTAGTAGACGATAATCTTCTAGCAACAAACTGTATCTGTCGGATCACCCGATATATTGTAAACAACCTGAAAGATGGAAGGTATTTTCTTTGTCCTTGTGTTCACCAGAAGTCACATCATGCATTTTCACCCTTCTACTGTATGTTCCTCATGTGTGCATTGGAATGTATTGATTGCTAGTTATGAATAGTATCTTTTGGTGTTTGACTCGTGTAGTACATAGCAATGTTGTACATGAGAACTTGGTTTTTAAGTTAGTTTTGTGCTACTTTGAGAATTTACATTGAATTATCAGAACTCTATTCCTTCTGTGTAGGGTGTATTTTGCATTGTTGGCTCATGAGCTGCTTCAGCAAAGGAAATTTTGAGGCTTGATTTAATCTTAGTGTTATGCACACTGAAAAGAATCATAAATATTTTTAATAATGCCCCACATGAACAACATGACTTGGAAGTCAGTGGAGAGTGGGAGGCAAGAATGTGTTGCAATTAGCCACCAAGTTATGTTTACATTTGTACATGCAGTGAGTCTTCTTTTGTTTCCTCTCTGTACCTTGATGTCACAGGCTCTGTTTACAAATCTGTGTTGTCTTTCTCCTCCTCTTGACTGCATCGGAACATTGCTATTATGTCTTAAATGCAATTTGAACAGAAAAAATAGACCTTGGGAGTTATATGGAAGACATAACTAATTATATGTATCTATCTGTTTATATATCTATCTCTGTGTAAATACTACCATGTTTATTTTCTGGAGCCTCAGCAGCAGAGAGAAATAAATGATATCACTGAGAGCTTACGTGTATAGTTCATATTGTATATGAGACCTTGGCAGCTAAGGACATGTACATGTTTACTGTATCTACTTAAGGAGACATGGATAGAGGACTTATCTTTGCACCATAACCAATTAAATAAACAGAAATTATTTTGCTGCTTGGAGTGTCCTTGAAAACTCAAAGTACCATAACCACTACAGCGCTCTGTATTCTACTTTATTAACGTAATGTATATTAGGTAATTACAAACCTTTTTTTAATGTACGTATAGGAAAATCCAAATGGATGGCAAGTGTAAAAGCACCATATGAATTGGCTTGTAATCTGAAATGTGTGTATAAAATTCTATCAAAATGTTCATTGTTTTTTCCTCTTAATTGTATTTACATGTTTTCTCTTATCTTTACATGTTTTTCTCTTACTCTTTCCATTTCTTAGGCGCGTGATCATAGTGATGGATATGGAAGTTTTGAAGCCTGCTGATGAGGTTAATGGAAAGATTGGGAATCCACAGCCCTATAATGATGGTACTAGAACTTGCAACAGGTTTTCTACAACTAACGTTTATTTTTCGAGACATTAGCTGCTATTTTATTTTACACCTGATATGTTATCTTTGTGTATCATTTCCTTGATATCTCTACCTACTCCTCGCATAACTCAAAGCATCCCATAGAGTGTTGATGGCGTGACTCCTCACCCATTTTTGTCCATTAAGGAGAGCACGTGTAATTCATTGCTTATTTCCACACAAATTCTATTAACACAGTCTAAAGCGATCCCAGTATTTGCACCCTTCAAGGATATTCGCTAAAGTGAATTCGAAATTTCGGATCGAAATAGCGGCACTAGAAACTTTCTCCATGTCGGCTATGCTTTCTGTTCAGTTGCTTTGACATTACATTTGAGATTCACTTTTCCTTCTTACTTGGTGAATAGCCCTGCTAGTCAAAAAATGTGATTAGTACTTTAAGCCTCATTTACAAGTTTTAAGAAAGTTACCTGCATGTAGTGAGTTTTATTTATTTACGAGTGAGGGTATGTGTGACGGTTCCTGTTAGTTTATTAGAAGTGTGACTGTGAACCCCATAATAACTCATCTGTGATTGTGCTGTCTACGTATTGGTACATCTGTTGCTCAAAGCCATCTGCTTGCTTGAAAAATGTTTTTAGAAATGTATCTTTGCATATGTCACTCTTGTTGACAGTGTGCAATGTACGCTTGATGTGTTACAAATTTGTTATAACTTACGCAATGTTTTGTTTTTGGTTAGTCTGTGTTGATGTAATTTTACCTATTTTAGTTTCTGGGACCCATTGTAGCCTGCATAATTTTTTGCTTTTTGTAAGCTCACGTAATTGTGGAACAATAACATTTATATTTTAACAATGTGTAAAATCTAATAAATATAGAAGTAATTGTTTTCTTTTGAGGATCTTGGATACTAAGAAGAGTAAATGTTTGTGAAATTGTATAAAGTTCTTCTGTGAAAGCCAGATGGTTTGGGGAAAATTGTTAAATTTATTGATTTGTTCTACATCATAGCTGATTTCTAGATTTTATTTTTTAATGCCTCTTGTACTGGTTAGATTGGTTGTTTTTTTTTTTTTTTTCCTCTCTAAACTCTATATCTATGCTTCTTCAGGACAAGGGCAGCCCCAGCCAGCAGCACCTGCACCAGCCTCTGCTCCTGCACCAGCCCCTATCAAACCGCAGTTTAACTCTGGTGAGTTACTTTTCAGTTTACGTATACATGTGTAAATTGCCCTCAATTTGTATGCATGGTATTCAGAACTGGCGCTATTTATGAAAGAAGAATTCCTGACCTCGCATCCAGTCGGTCTTCTTGCTTGTAAACACAGACTCCAGACAACCATTAACATGGGGGAGAGAACAACCTTCTTTGATTGCTTTGGTTTTAACTGCACCAGAATTAAAATTATAGCTATGGCTTATTTACTGACCTTCCTACTACCTAGTTGTAAAGGAAATTGAAGGTTTCTCTAAGGACACAATTCTGCTGCAACCTTATATTCTTTCTTTTTGGGATGCTTAGAGACAATGTGTATACCTCCCTAATTAAAAGAATATGATTTGTATACATGTATAACTCCATGTGTTCACTCTGTGGTATCATTATGTTTGGCCAGCTTTAAGCATACCAGATCAGCCATGTGTTTCTTCGATACACACTTCTTACCCATATTAATGTTTAATGAAAATAGTTAATTGGCAGTGTTGCAGCATACAAATTCTACATTAGAGTACTACATTTAATGCGCTTCCCTCAAAATAGTAGTGATTCGTATCCAGGAAAACATTGGGGTCAAGCAACCATGTAAAAATGCTGTGATATTATTTACATACGTTACACGGTGCTAATCCTGGCTTGCTTCACTTTGTTTGATAAGGGGCTAATACTGCATCTGGTTTAAAATGTAAAGGCTTTGTAAATGTATGTATTGCCTGTGTGATACTGTGATATCTGCATTGCAGGCATTGCCATAGTGTGTGTTGGATGGGAGGAGGAGAATGTTCCCTATAGGCCAGACCTCTAGAAGGCTCTTTATTTTATCTGCATGCTTCCTCTTGGGTCTTGTGGATTTAATTGTTATTTTAATTCAATGTTTTATTGAGTCTTAAAAGCTTGTGTGGCTTCTGAGGAGAGGGTTAAAGAGAGCACTCATATCTGCCTGTGTGTATCTTGTAATTTGTGCTTTAAATGTTATGTATTTCTAAAAGTTTTATTATTCATAAGAGGGATTTTTATTTTTTTTCCTCATCAGCTCCTCCTGCTTCCATGAACCGTGGCTTATCTAAACCGTTTGGAGGAGGGGGTGTAATGAGTACCCCCGGTGGTTCTCAGTCCAAGGTGGTGCCAATTGCCAGCCTCAATCCATACCAGTCGAAGTGAGTGACTTCTCATTTCTGAATGAAAAATTACCAGGAAAGAGCTGCTGAAATAACAAGTCATGTGCTTTTATTTAGCTTTAATTGATCATTTGTATGGGATTGAGATTTTACCATCCCTTACAGTAAAGCGAACACCCACAAAAAACAGATTCTCATTTAGTAGTATAGATGTATTCTCTTAAATGTCATTTTAAGTTTTTACATGGGTTTTCTGCCACATATATACTTGCCATAAAACGTGTTTGGTTCTTGTCCCGTTTTACTTCGAATTTCAACTTCTGCCTTAAAATCACAAAACTGAGTGCCTCTGGTAGCGGTATGTTCTTACTTTTAAAGAATTAATAATGCTTTAAAATGATTAGAATTTTCTTTCTACATTTCGCATGCAGACCTGTCACTTTAGAGAACGTTATATTACGGAGGACAACAAATCAATAAAAATAATTGAAATAGCGGTACACAACGAATGCTTAAAGTGGTTTCCCCAAATTCAACTGAAAATGCAACTTATGACTTCTCCAGTCTCAATTATTCAACCCCCTAAATTAAATCCCTCACAACGGCACAAATATGCTAAACAGGTGTTGACTCAAGCAAACCTGATGCAACTAATCAAGGGATCCTTAGTGCTTGATGTGCTTTAGCTGGAACACCTCAAATACCTGAACTGGCTAGGGGTTTGAGTGTCACATTTGACTGCATGTTGGCAATATGACTAAGCCAAAAGAATGGTCTACAAAGAGAAGAGATAATTGCCCTTCACAAACAAGGAACAGGATACATAAAGATAACGAAGGCACTGAAAGTTCCAAGAGACCTGGTTTGAAGCATAGTTCACAAGTTCAAAGTTGAAGGAACAGTGGTAACACTACCTGGTCGGGGCAGAAAAAGGAAGCTATAAAGACCTGCAGCAAATATTGGTGGCAACAGGCACTGAGGTTTCAGTGAGCACAGTAAGGTGCGTACTAAACGTAGAAGGTTTCCATGCCAGAAATTCAAGACACACCACTACTGACCCAAAAGCACAAGAAAAGTCAGCTCTAATGTGCTCAAAATAAAGTACAGAAGTTTTGAGATTCTATTCTGTGGAAATATGAAACAAAACTGGAACTTTTCATCCCAATTGATCAGCGATATGTCTGGAGGAAGAAAAATGATGCATACACTGAAAAGAACACTGCCTACTGCTAGTATGGTGGTGGCTCGATGATGCTCTGGGGCTGCTTTGCATCCTCTGGCACCGGAAACCTGCAGCGCGTGGAAGGCACGATGGATTAATTGAAGAAATCCTAGCAGAAAACATCATGCAGTCTGTGAGGAAGCATAAGCTTGGGCGTCATTGGACCTTCCATCAAGACAATGATCCAAAGCAATACCTCAAATTACTCCAAAGGCTTGGTTGCAGAAGAAGTCCTGTTACTAAATTGGAGGACAATGCTTTTGAGCAATGGACTATGATAGCTCAAGCATGCTGCCAGAAGCTGGTGTCTGGCTTGCATCTCATTTGCAGCAGGTCATGACAGCAAAAGGATGCCATTCTAAGTACTAAAGATGCTTGCTATGAAGGGGTTGAATATTTTTGAGACTGGAGAAGTCATAATAAGTTCTATTTTCAGTTGAATTTAGGGAAACCACTTGAAGCATTCCCTGTGTTGAGCTATTTCAATTGCTTCTGTTTGATTTGTTCATTGTAAATTTTGACAATAAACCTGGCGGTTGAATAGTTTTGATTACAACTATCTTCCCACCACCACCACTGAGTAAAGTCAATACACAATATCTATATATTTTTATAGATGGTTGGATACGAACAATACAATGAAACATAAACCTTCCTTGAACGTTTGTGGATTATGAAAATCATTTGATATTCTGTTATACTTATTAGGGATATTTAATTCATTGCAATGCCTAGTTGCCCAAAGGGAATTGATCATAGTAAATGTTGGCTTTTTAAGGGGGAAAAAAGAGTCTTTCACTTTGGTTTTAAATTAATTCTCCAACATATAACTATTTGTGCATGAAGAGAATGAGATTTCAGATATTGGTCTCTTTAAGATTTTGCTTAATCTTCTCTGCTACACAGTATGCATGCTTGCCCAGCATTTTCACTTCCAGCTAGGACTAAATTGTGCAGCCTTATTGGATGAATTTTGATGCCATTCTAAGGATTATGTGCTAGCCATACCTTGTTCATCTGATTTGATTGTATGCTTTGTTTATTTCAATCCTTGGACTTTGTCATTATTCTGCTATCGTTTACCAAGTCTAATACAGCCTTAGTCACGTGACCCTCCCTGCCCACATATTTCCCAGCACAAACATCGATGTAGCAGCGCAAATCTACACATTAGCCCATTTCCACAGTGGTAGTTTGATTGTAAGCCCTGTCTGGAATATTGAATTTTCTAGTGTGATGCTTGGTAGAGTGGAGAGTGCAGAGTTTTGCAAGCTACTAGCAATTGATTGGATTTGTTTGCTGGTCTAAAATCTGTAAAAGCTTCCTGTGGTACCACAAACTTGAAGATTTATTTTTAATGCTTTGCTCTATCTAGTGACTATATTTATTCTGACATATCTCTTCTACTCAGTCTTCATTCCTGTCTTGTGGAGCTTAGGCTCTTGGGGGCCCGTGGTGTTTTAGACGTAAATTTAAAACTCTAAAGAAGCGTGACAGGCTAGAATTCAGAACAGTTATTCTTTCATTGAACACTTTTTTTCCCCTTCTTTTCCAGGTGGACAATTCGTGCTAGGGTTACCAATAAAGGGCAGATTCGTACATGGAGCAACTCCCGTGGGGAAGGAAAGCTATTTTCTATAGAGATGGTGGATGAGAGTGTAAGGAGACAACGCTAGATTATTTTGTACTATAACACATGTGACTGGGATTTCTAAATGTTATCTAGCTGCCGCCAGATAATTATTGCCATTTGTGAAGCAGCCTTGGAATTACATTTCCTACAACGTTTTCTTGGCAACATCTTTTTTTTTTTTTTTATTGTTCATTTTTGGATTTGTTAAATAGCTTTACAAAATAGACCTTAAATTTGCTTCATTTGTGACCCTCCATAGTTTTTCATTTAGAGGTTTGTCCACTAAATAGTGTTCTTTTGAAAATCAAATTTGCTGAATCTGCTCCCTTTAGAAATTCTGAAATACCAATCTACACAGGCTTTTGTGACAAAGTTCCAATTTTCTTGATAGAAGTGATTTTTCTTTTTTTCTGTCTCAAGTGCCAATCCTCTTCAATGAATGGTTATTACACTACCATTGTAAGGAACTAGACCACTCACACGAGCAGCGCATTTTAAAATCTTTAACATTTGGGAGGTTTTGGTAATTACGGTGTTGTAATAAATATATTTACCAAGGTTACCACACCAGCATAACATGAATAGGCTATAGAGTTTTATGTATATTGGAAAGATTTAAAGGGATGCTATATGCCAGGAAATCAAAGCTGTATTCCTGGCACTATAACACTCTGCCTGCCTCCCCCTCCCAAATGTCCATTATGATCCAGGAAGCCACTGGAGGCAGAATTAGTGCTGCAGTGTAAATGTTACAGCACTAAGTGCAATATGGACAGTGCACCCACATCACTTCAATGAGCTAAAGTGGCCTGGGTGCCTATAGTGTCCCTTTACACTTTTTCACTTAAGTTTGTGTTTTTTGGTTTTTTTCTGATTGTTTTTTCCCCCCACACCACTTCTTACAGTCTCTTATAGATTTCTATGAAAGATCCTGTGTGGAACTGGTACATATTCAGCCAGGCCCTAGAGCACCCCCACTCTGTACTTCAGCCTCCAATAGTTTTTGTTGTCATCTTCTTTAAGAAGACTGTTGCTGTTTACTGACCTACATATCTCCTAAATTGCTTATCAGGAGTTTATGGGATATACTAGAAGGTCCCATTCAAAATAGGAGCCCCAAGAGTGGCGGAGTGCTTTTGTCCACTTTCTAGTCTCTATAGAACTTTTTTTTTTTTTTTTTTTAAATTGGTCAATTACAGCCTATTGTTTCCCTGTAAGTCAGGCTGCTGTTGAAGACATACAGTGAAATTGCTGACAGTTACAACAATATGCCTCTTGTCTCGTACTGCCTGAAACTGTTCGCTGTTAGACGTGAATGGCTTACTTCTGTGTTTCTAGCCTTATAACCTGTTTAATAATTTGAGCTGTACAAGACTCGTCATGCTTTCTATTCTTGGTCACTTGCAGAAGAACACAGTGACTAAAATGTTTTTCTGTGCAGATGTTTCTCTGATGCAAGAACAAAAATCTGTTATCAAATAATTAGCTCTCCTTGCCCTGGGTAAAGAGGGGGTGGATGAGTCATCATAAGCCTGGGCAGCTACTGCAAATGGTGACATCTTTGTCATCAATTAGGTACAAAGTATTTTATTGCCCACACATCACGTGCAGTCTAAAGTTAATTAGATAATCATCTTGATTGTCACTAACAAAGCATATTGTATTTATTTGGGTATATAATACATATTTGCACATACCTACAGTCTATAAATAGTCAGACTGTAGTAGATGGTGTAAGCTCTAAGGGATTACTGTGTTGACAAGTAATAGGAAGGGTTCCCATCATGCATTGCATATTTACAATTCAAAGACAATGCACAAATAATCAAACCCAGCACCCCTCCTCTCCCCTCAACCCAACTTTTTTGAATTTTCCACCTATTTGCATCACATTTTGGGAATCCTCTGGTTCTCCATTGATGATGGCCAAAACAAAGAAATGCTTGAGATCTCTGCCAGGCCTAGTCACATTAAAACACCTGTTATGCAGAATTTTATAGAATACCTGCAAATCTCTTATTGCATTTTATTGAAAGGTATTGATCAGCCATGTGCATAACCTTTTTGGTTTGTAACTAGCACGGGTAGTTTTATTTATTTTGACTTTTATTTAAAAATTCCCGTAAGGGGAATGCATACGTAGGATGGATTTTAGGTGCAAGCAGTTTTTGCTTTCTGATTGGTTTATGTATCCATGGATCAGGCATCTAGTAAAAAAAAAAAAAAAACAGCATGCATGATCTCTTTGAAACAACATATGAACACAGTCTACAATTAGTATGTTTTAGAAATGAAAAACAAGTTTAAATCTGTAATTGCCTGTAATTGGAAAAACACTACAAGCACCGTAATCCGTACTTATGGTTCCTTGAGTTCCTGAAGGACCATGCAGGAGCCATCTGCTCTCCAGAGCGGAACAGACTCCCGCTTTTATTGGGGTGGCACAAAGGCACTTGGTGCACCATACCCACTTCAATGCAGATTTTAATGTTCTTAGACTTGGAGTGTTTTATCATTTCTCAATATTTTGATAGTTTGATTTATTTTTAAAGGTTATTCACTAAAGTGTGAATTGTCAGGAATTCAAAGCAAATTCAAAGTGCATTTCGAATTTTAAGCCCAAACTGGAAGCTGACTTGAAATTTTTTTATAGTTTGGCTATTTTGGCCTTAAATTTGAAGTGTCACTTTACTGAATATCCCTTGGTTAAACTGAGCCAAATGGATCATATTGCTGGAATGAGATTCATTTTAAAACGGCTTCATGCTCTAGAATTGAGCCAAATGCACGTGGCCAAAATTTTTAAATGAATCTTTCCATTTAGTGAAAAGACCACTATATATGTATGCTTATCGGTTTACTTGTCCGTTCTGAAAAGCACTAGGTATGTCACAGGTGATGTTGACTCTTTGTGTGTGGAACTATGTAGGCTATAATGACAGAATAATGGGTACACTTAGAACAACAAATGGGAGTTTTGATCTCAGACAAATGAAGTTCAACATATAGCAAATTTCAGATGAGTTAAAAGGACACTCTAGGCACCACAACCACTTGAAAGGATTGAAGTCATTATGGTGCCTGGAGTCTGTCGCCAGATCCTTTCACTGCTAAAAGGTTTACTGTGGAGCCGATATATACTCCCTAGCTGCCCAGCCTCCAGTTATGATATGGCAAAAGTGGGAGCTATTCTTCTGCTTCATACCAGCACTCAGCCAATACTCTCAGCCAGTCACTGCCCTCTACCCATAGTGTCATGTAGCGGAGCATAGCCATTTCATCATTGAAGGCCGTGCTGCAGGTTGCCACTATGGACAGACCATCTCTACTAAATGGTTAGCAAACAGTTTAGCGGTGATTTGGGATCTTGTGCCGATGGTCTTCAGAGACCATAACCACTTCAATTAGTTGAGGTGGTTATGGTGCCTACAGTGTCTATTAAACTTTTCTCCTTTTTTTTTTGACCGTTAAATAGACTATAACATAGAAATAGAGAATGTAACGGCAATAAGAACCATTCAGCTCATCTAGTCTGTCCAATTTTCTAAATCAATAGTCCCTGGTCTTATCGTACATCTGGGGTAGCCTTATCCCTATCCTATAACACTGGACAACAAGGCTCTATGACACATTTAAAGCTTTTATCCACTCAATGGCACTGAAAGGGTTTACGCTGCACACTCAAATTTGATAAATGTTCACATTTGATTTTAAGCATAGTTAGTGAATATGCTGATCTAACTTTCATGTATGTGTATTTATTTAATACAGGGTGAGATCCGAGCTACTGCTTTCAATGAACAAGTGGACAAGTTTTTCTCCCTCCTAGAAGTGAACAAGGTGGCTACCAATTTAACCTTTTATTTATTTTTTCGTTTACGCTCTGTGAACAATACAATAATACTTAATATCCTCTGTTTTAGGTATATTACTTCTCTAAAGGAACTCTAAAGATTGCCAACAAACAGTATACAGCTGTAAAAAACGACTATGAGATGACGTTCAACAACGAGACCTCTGTTATCCCCTGTGAGGACTCTTCTGATGTTCCGACTGTGCAGTTTGAATTTGTACCTATTGGTGACCTGGAAAGCAAGAATAAAGACACTCTGCTAGGCAAGTATTTTGTTCAACATTGGATCAACCGTGTATCGAATTTTAATTCATAGGATTCCATCATCATTGTCTTTCTTTTAATGTTTATCAAATCTGCAGATGTAATTGGAATTTGTAAGAGCTTCGATGATGTAACGAAGGTTACAATAAAGTCAAACAACAGAGAAGTATCCAAGCGGACCATTAATTTAATGGACACCACGGGCAAATTGGTTTCAACGACTCTGTGGGGCGAAGATGTAAGGATGTTTTAAATTATTGTAGTTGTTGGAGCTGCCAGTGTTTACAAAGGCTAGTTATAGTCCTTGTCCTACTAGAAAGTATTAATCAAAATTAAATAACTTGCTATGTGCTCTTTAATTTTTCGATCCATGTTATACACCATTTAGTGGAAACCTTTCTTAAATCCCATTATACCAGTGTATTCCTGAGTCTACAATTTTCTGTGCTTCGATGTACAAACACTTTTGATCTGTGAGAAAAATACACATTGTGCTAATGCCACAATTGGCATCCTCCTAATTATCACTCTCTGGAGGTTGAAACATATTCCAAAAACCTGTGGGAGGCTTGTGGCATGCTTTTCAATAATAGTCATGTTGCAATCTGTAGATTTAGCTTTCTGTCACTTATCCACTAAAGCATATTGTGTGTAAAATAAAAACAAATCTTCCCTCCTGCATCTTTCCTTAAAACTTCAGTATGAAAGCTAAATTAATAATATGAAGGCAAGCAAGGAAGGTTAGCTTTTGATATTGCAACACGTGCATGCTGTGTTTTCCAAGATTCACAGGTAACCTGATTACTGTGCGATCATAATGGGAAATGTCAAAACTGAACCCCAGAAAATACTGAGCAGAGTCAATTTACATAGCTTGTTCCCACTCTCTTCACAAGGTACTGTCTATAATGGCACAGGTTGAGCTAATATTAGCTGTTGAACTGTTTGCATATCGCTTAGGGTCCCCCAAAGGTTAAAGGGCAATCTAGATTTGCAATTCCATGCTAGACTGTGTGTAAAGGGGTAACATCTATACCTCAATGGTAAGGCCCAAACAAGGCTAAAATTATCTACTGATGTTGTCAGATTTCTGTTGTAGATGGGAGCTGGCTAGGATTTGGATTTGCCACCAGATTAACTAAAACTAGTTGAGATTTTAGAGGATCAACAGAAATGCAAGCCCTTTGTGTGACTGTTCATTATTAGTATTATTTGCTTTGTTTTGCTTTATCATTGATTATGTTTTGTGCAAGAGTTGGTATTGCAGAAATTAGCATTTAATTTTAGAAATGTTGCTCCCCTGCTAGTTTTCTGCAAGACTTTTAATTTAAAATTACATTTATTTTTCTTTCTGTTTCAGGCAGATAAATTTGATGGCTCCAGACAGCCTGTTGTGGCTATTAAAGGAGCCCGTCTTTCTGACTTTGGCGGTCGATCTTTGTCCGTTTTGTCATCCAGCACTCTAATGATAAATCCAGATATTCCTGAAGCATTCAAACTCAGAGGATGGTAGGATATGGGCAAATAAATGTTTGCTTTTTGTTTTGTTTAGAAGTAGCAGCCTTTCCAAAGTTCTACACTTTTACAAACCTTCTTTAGAAATTGTTTTCTAAACTGAAACACTAGTGGGCGCTATGTCAATGCTGAATCATTTAAATGCTGTAGTTTTAACCCATTTGGTGTTGGAGGAACTGCAGCTGTTGATTTCCCAGAGTCAAAACATCAAAACCCAGTTGAAGATCTTGCATATAAGGAGCTCAGAACAGAAGCATAGATTACTGTTTGTAGAAGTCCCTGACTGGTACTATGCTAGTCTCTGTCTTGGAGACATATCTCTGTTTCTTAAAAAGGACAATATAAAATAGTTCTACAGTACGCAAAACTGAAAACTAGATAATACAGGTTTTTGTTTTTTTTTATAGTTTTTGTAAAAACATACAATTGAACCTGTATTCTTTTTTGATTTATGAAAAGTATTTTTTATGTCCTGTACATTCTATAAGCATATTTTTTTATATATCCTTTTTTTTTTTTCCATACGCAATATTACTTTTCATCACTTAGTTAAATTGTCCATTATTCTTTATTCTCCTCAATAATCGGGTGTCTTGTGATGAGCAGATACTCTACTATCTAGGGGAAATGGTTTATTTAAAAAAAAAAATTGGATTCCTCTTATCTCTGTTGTTTTAATGTAAATGGTCAAATTTAAACTCCAAATTTTCCATATAATTTCCTTTTATTTTTTCCTTCCCAAGGGGAGTTGGGTCACAATAACAATATAATGCAGGGTGGTTTCTTGGCTTGAGGTCATGTCAGTCGCTTTCATTTCCTCTGTTGTCGCTCCCTGATTGAGTATACGTTAAAAATAAAGGTACCGGGAACTAGCCTTCCCATTTCTTATTATGTAATATAAACTTTAATCTTGCAATAAAATATTTTTGTTTGAGGGTTTTTGTAATGTTTTAATTACATATGCCCTTCCATATAGTCTAGCCTCAAGATTTTACCTAATACAATGTGTTCCATCTGAAATATGTATCCATTCAATAGCCGTTTGATGGTTTATTGATGCAATGAAGAAGACTGCATCCTATGAATACTACTAAATAATTCTTTGTAATTCTATTTGTTTAATAAATATGGATGGCATCTCACCAGGACAAAATACGTGTGGTCCCATTTGCACCTTAGACTTTGGAATTTAACACATCTGAACATCTTTCTTTTCCAAAGGTTTGATTCCGAGGGACAGGTTTTGGAAGGCACATCCATATCTGAATCAAGAGGTGGAGGAATGGGTGGTGGAAACACAAACTGGAAGTCTTTATTGGAAGCGAAGAATGAAAATCTGGGCCATGGTGACAAAGTATGATTGTTTCAGTAATACATGATTTTTCTATGTAGAATGTATGAGTTTTGTGTTTAACGCTTGTTTTTGGATTCAGTTTTCTGCACACTTAAAATAAGCAAAATAGCTTTGATACGGTCATTGCAAGAGTTCCTTAGGTAAAATTTAACTTTAGTAATTGAGTGCAAGAGCATGAAATATTCTCCTCCAGAGCAACAGGAAGGGGAACCAAATCCATTCAGCTTTTGCTTGCAGACACTGTTCAGCCTGAGAAAGTGATGCAATTAGTTTCTGAGAAATGGTCTGCTCTGGTAGTTCATTTGAGTTAATGGAGCCCAGGAGCAGCATCTGGTTAGTACATGGGCCAGGAAATAAACAAGTTTACGAGCATTAAGTTACTCTTGACCTTTTGTGTGTGTGTGTGTGTGTGTATATATATATATATATATATGTGTGTGTGTGTGTGTATATATATATATATATGTGTGTGTATATATATATATATATATGTGTGTGTGTGTGTGTATATATATATATATATGTGTGTGTGTGTGTATATATATATATATATATATGTGTGTGTGTGTGTGTGTGTGTGTGTGTGTGTGTGTGTGTGTATATATATATATATGTGTGTGTGTGTGTGTGTGTGTGTGTGTGTGTGTGTGTATATATATATATATATATATATTACACATACACACACACACACACACAGATTTATTGTGTCCTGGGTAAATGTTATTGAGGTGTTCTGGAGACATCAAAAAGGCTGGTGTTCAAGGGGTTTATAAATGCACAGGGATTTCAATTATGTATGTTAGGTTAGTGTTAATGTAAAGGTTAATATTTGTTGTCTGTGCAAGTTTTACATGTGCACTCACCCACACACGTGTGTGTATATTATTATTATTATTATTATTATTATTATTGCCCTTTATATAGTGCCAACAGATTTCGTAGCGCTTTACAATATTATAAGAGGGGGGATTTAACTATAAATAGGACAATTACAAGAAAACCTACAGGGATGATAGGTTGAAGAGGACCCTGATCAAACAAGCTTAGTCTATAGGAGGTGGGGGTGTAAAACACAATAGGACGGGGAATAGCAATCAAAATAGGTTGGAGTGAAGCAGAGCTGGAGGAGAGTAGAGTGCTGCCCTTCAGGAGAGAGCAAGAGACCGGTATGTGAGGTAGAGGTTACTCTGGGAGGCCATAATCTTTCCTAAAGAAATGGGTTTTAAGGCACTTCTTAAAGGATTGAAGACTAGGGAAGAGTGATGGCGGTAGGCAGGCTGTACAAGCGTGAGTTGGCTGTATGGGTTTGAGTAGTGGACAGGAGGTGGTCACAGGCAGAGCGGAGAGACCGAGAAGGGGCATACCTATGAATCTTAGAAGAGATATGAGGGGCTGGAATTGGTCAATGTTTTATAGGTCTGGGTTAGCATTATGAATTGTCTCCTATAGGATAAGGATATAGGAAGCCAATGTAAGGACTGACAGAGGAGTGAGAGGACCGACTAGAGGAAAATCAGTCTGGCGGCAGCATTCATTACAGACTGTAGATGGGCAGTACGGTTTTTGGGAAGACCAATTAGGAGAGGGTTACAATAATCCATGCTGGAAATTACTAGAGCATGGAGCTCTTTGGTACCATCTTGCATAAGAAAGGGGCGGATGCGGGCTATGTTTTTAAGATGTAATCTGCAGGATTTGGTAACATGCTGAATGTGAGGCTCAAAGGTAAGGCTGGAATCAAATGAGACAAACACAGCGCGCTTGCAAGGATGGGCTGATGTGGCTACCACTGACTTGAAGGGAGTACGAAAGAAGATCAGTATTAGGAGGAGGCAAGACAAGGAGTTCAGTTTTAGGGAGATTGAGTTTTGGAAAGCGGGAGGACATCCAGTCAGAGATGGAGGAAAGGCAAGCAGTGACACGTTGCAGGGCGGCAGGGAAGAGGTCTGGGGAGGAGAGAGATAGCTGGGTGTCATCAGCGTACAGGTGGTAGTGGACTGAGACATGATGAATGGAGGAGGTGGAGGTATCATTAGAAAAGGAGACACTGAATGAGCGTTGGGAGAGAGAGGAGGACAGTGTCACAGAGACCGAGTGATTGAAGAGTTTGAATAAGGAGAGCATGATCAACGGTGTCAAAGGCAACAAAGAGGTCAAGAAGTATTAGTATGGAGTAGTGGCCTTTGGATTTAGCTGTGATTAGGTCATTAGTGACTTTGATAAAAGCAGTCTCAGTAGAGTGGAGAGGGCGGAAGCCAGATTGAAGAGGGTCAAGGAGAGAGTTGGAATTGATGAAGTGAGACATACGGGTAAAGACAAGTCTTTCCAGAAGCTTTGAGAGAAGCTCTTGTTCAGTAGCCAGGGAGAAAGTCTGAAGGGTAGGAAAGGAATGGTCTACCCGTTGTTTGAAAAAGAGGCAGGGTGGGGAGAATTTTTCTGTTCAATCTTGCCGGTAAAGTAGCATGCAAAGCTCACAGCAGGGCGAAAAAAAGAGTTGTGTCAGACGCATGGGATTGCGGGAGCATGAACTAATGACAGTGGAAAGTATGACTGTTTGGCGAGAACAAGGGCTGCGCTGTATGAACACAATATTAATCTATAATGGAAAAAGTCTGCCTGGGTGCGAGACCTCCTCCAGGAGCGTTCAGCACAATGGGAACATCTTTGCAGGTAGCGTGTTGATTTAGTATGTCACAATTGGGGGCGTGTCCTCCTCGAGGTGCATGTTTGGAGCGTTCAAGGCAGAGGTGAGGGTAGTGTTATATGTGGAGATGGCCAGTGAGGGACAGGAGAGGGAAGGGATGGATAGGAGTTGCAAATCAATATCAGCTGACAGCTGCTGGAGGTCAATTATAACTAAGGTTCATCTTGAGTTGAGGGGGGTTAGGCTTAGGTTGTTGGGTGAAAGGGTACTCGAGAGCAAATGATAAGAGGTGGTGGTCAGAGCGAGGAAATGGAGTGTTGGGGATATTAGACACTGTACATACATAAGAGAAAACAAAGTAGAGGGTATTGGCAGCTACATGGGTGGAAGAACTAGCCCACTGCGATATCCCAAGGGAGGAAATAATTGAAAGTAGTTTAGTTTAGAGGCTGCTGAGGTCAGGGGTGGGTTAACGGGAATATTGAAGTCCCCCAAGAATTAGGGATGGTATTTTAGAGGAGAGGAAGTAGGGTGGCCAGGCAGCAAAGTGGTCAAGGAAGAGGAGAGGGGAACCAGGGGGGGGCGATAAATAATGGCAATGTTAGCAGAGAAGGGTTTGAATATGCGAACAGAGTGAATTTCGAAGGAGGAGAGAGGGGAGGGGAGTTGGGTAGAGTTTTGAAGGAGCAGTGAGGTGAAAGGAGAAACCCAACACCGCCACCTTTACTGTCAGACCGTCTTGGATTGTTCGTAAACTGTAGACCACCATAGGATGAGGCAGCTGTGTCAGATGGAGAGAGACAAGCTTCAGTTAAAGCAAGTAAGCGAAGGGAGCGTGAAATGAATAAATAATGGATGGAAGTTGATTTAGTTATGTTGCACACAAAGCGTCCTTTCCAGAGGGCAGAATGGAAGGAGAGCTTAAAGGGAGAGTTACATGGGATGGATATAAGATGGGGGAGTGGTTTCTAGGGTGGACTCAAGGTAAGTGGGTAGAGGCAGGACCAGGGTTTGGAGAGACATTGCCAGCTGCCAGGAGCAGAAGTGTAGAAAGTAAGAGAAGGTGGAGTAAGTAGAGTTTGTTTGGGGATTTACAAGGAGTTGGAAGGGAAAGGGTGGATAGGTATGAATATAGCGTATGTGATTAACAAAGAGAGAAAGGTAGTAAACCAGGAGAAATTAAGATGGTGTCACTAAGAACAGGTAATCTGAAAGAGTGATTTTAGTAATGAGAGAAGTGAGGGTGAAACAGACTAATAGTAGAGAGAACATAAAGTAGTGTTTTGTTATAGATGAAAAAATTATAAAGGCAGCTTGGACCTAGGGGAGAGTGGAGGGGTGAAGGGTTAACTGGCCTGTGTAGTTGGAATGGCTAGTGTGTGTGTATGTATATTTTACACACACACACACACACACAACCTCTTATTTCAATGCAGTAGATCAATTTTCAGGAACTCTGACAACACAGATGACATAATACACAAGGACCGAAGCATTTGCAATATTCATTTCTTCTCTCTAAATTTCAGGCTGACTATTTTACCAGCGTGGCCACAATTGTATATCTCCGAAAGGAGAATTGCCTGTATCAGGCTTGCCCTTCACAGGACTGCAATAAGAAGGTGATAGATCAGCAAAATGGACTTTTCCGATGTGAGAAATGTGACAAAGAGTTTCCAAACTTCAAATATCGCCTCATACTGTCAGTGAGTATTACATAAATATAGATTCTCTTTCTTACTAATTTTTTAATAAATAGGTTTCACATAACAAATTGCAATCAGCCCCATCAATTAAGTTATGGTATTGTAGATATCTGTTACAATTTATTTTTTTTAAAGATTCTATCTTGTAATTCAGAATCCTTTTATTTACTCTCATCTAAATGTAAACCTATTACACAAGAATACACCTTTACGTTAAAAAAAAAAAACATTCAAAATGCAAACAGAAATCTTGTAACTTGTTTAGTTTAACAGATTTAATTGTCAGATTGGTTTCAAATAAGTCCTTGAAGGTGTATTGACATTCAGATTTTACTTTCTAAGTATTGATTTTATATTTATTTTTTCCTCAAGTAATGTGGTTGCCCTGCAGGTTCTGCCTGATCATTTAAACAATCAGCATTGTTTCCAGAGGAGATTGCTGACTTTTTAATATGTGGAAATATCTTCCAAAAAATAAAGGGGGCATGGAGGGGATGAAATGTTTGGTTACATTGCTTCCCTATCCTCTGTTGCAGGCAGTCCTGTTTTATAATGGAGGTTTCCACATAGGTCTGTCCCTGTTCATCACAATGCCCTTTTTAGTGTTTGCTGTGTGTCCAGGAGCTGTCATAGAAATGTGAGCAATTATTGCTGTCCTAACAAATTCTTCTTTAAAGACCTTACTTCAAAATTTGCAGTTTTACAAAAAAAGCAGGGATTTCACGCTAGCATAAGGACTGTTATCAAAGTGTAACATTTGGTGCTTAAGGAGTTAGTATTTGTGCAAATGTATTTTTCTACCGTGGTTCAGTTGATCAAAATCTTAAAGGAATACTACAGGCACCCAGACCACTTTAGCTTATTTTAGTGGTTTGGGTGCAGTGTCCCAGGTCCCTTAACCCTCCATAGGTAATTATTGCAGTTGTTGATATACTGCAATAATTACCTTGCAGGGTTAACTTCACCTCTAAGAGCAGTCTACCAGACATCCACCAGATAGATTTCCGGGTGGTTAGGTGACTTTTGGTCGCCTAACAGATGCTGGCCTGACATGAGGACATCTAGCGTCACCCTAACCCTCATAGGAAAGCCTTATACAGTGTTTAGAGTTTGTAAATGAGATCACCCTGTACAGCCAAAGTATCCAATGGAGGTTTTCAACCCAATATCATTATTCTATACATTACCATTATGTATATGTTTACCTTTTATGTTTACCATTATCACATCAGATATAGGATCTTATCAGTTTGTCTACACATGCAAACACAACTTTATTGCTCATCTTTTTATTCTTTATCTGCAAACAGTTCTACCAGAAATTTAAGCGAAAATCTTAACCATTGAACTGAGGAAATCTTTTCTTTTGATGCCAGTGAACTTGGAATTTAAATGTGTTTAAAATAGCTGTTGTCTCACAGACCCTGACACCTCCTGCACTTGTCATTTTACAGCTGCAGTAACTGCTTTAGGAATTAAAGTCCAGCTGAAATCTTGTTAACTTTTCTCGCGTGCTGTAACTGCTAAATGATTTTGCTTAAATACACCTCTCTCGTGCTGACATTGATCCAGAATACAAGATATAAAGCTCAAATCTCCTGCCAAGTTCTTCCTCTGAGAAGTCTTTGTACTTGTGTTAAGACCACAAAATGAAATGGGCACTGTATTGGTACAGATGTCCATGCTGTGTCTTTGTGCAGTTAAATTATCAAACAACTTATTTTAGAGAGTAACACAAATTCCCAACTTGTTTTCTGGCTAAAATGCAGTGTTTTTACCGATACAGGGTGAAACCGTGTAGCTTATCAATTCTTGTTTACAAGGCAGCATGCATTAGATTGAAAGCAAAGATAAATTAATGTTAAGTCTTTTGTGGAGAGCTGAAATTGCTCTTACAGCCAGGAGCCTATATTTAGTCTGCTCTCAGGAGCCATGGCCTGCTCCTCCTGCATTACTGGCGCCGGCATCAAAAGCAGAGCCTATTTCTGCCTGTCTGTGAGATGAATTTATATGTAGGAGAGCAAACATAATTCTAGCTCCTGCAAAAGGCTGCCAGTTCTCCACATGTGGTCTCACCACTTTCATACAAGTGCTCGTTGGCCCTGACCTGACGCGTACAGAGCGGCTCTTTCTTCTCTCAGGCTCATTATATTCATCAGCCCTCAGCAGCTGTGACGACTTACATTCAAGCTGTTTAATGCCTGTCGAAATCCCTAATGATCTAAAATGGCAGTAGGATGTTGTGGAACGTATAAATAACAGGCTGTTGGCGAAATTTTGAATTGAGCACTTGTTTTATTTTCTGACTTCTGGATTCCCCTTGCCCTGATCGCAGAGCTTCCATTAGTGGCAAGGCTTGAGAGCCCCTTTTCTGTTAACCAGCTTAGAGCCGCGGTAGACCACAAGCATTAGATGTGCATATCTCATAATGGGCAGTGATGTCAGTTGCTATATTTGTATATCGCTATATTATAAAAATCCACATTGTGTGTTTAACTGATTACGGACCAGTTTTTACAATCCTATCTTTTTATCGGTTTATGGACCATCAGCAGTTTTGAAGATTCTATTTAATGCTAAATGCTCAAGACACTGAGTTGGAGTAATGTCTTGAACTCTTTAATTATCAAAGTATGTCATTCCATCCTCTCAATCTAGGCTATAAAAACCCTATGCCTGCCCGTGTGTAATGTTCTGTGAATGGCACATTTGCATCTCTATAGAGCCATGCTAAATAAGTATGACATTCCATATCAATGAAGGGTCTTTATTTATCAGATTGCTAAAATGGCATAGATATCTTGACACATTCCATGTCAGAGCAGTGACAATTTATGCACTCAAAGCCACTACAGCCCACTGTTGTAGTTATACTGGCACCAATCTGTTGTTTTTCGACCCTTTTTACTTCATTTGACAATAAGTGGTTTGCCTCCTCGTTAGAAATATCACTAAAGCAGAAATTCTCCTTCTGCATCTTCAGTAACAGTTTTGTCCAAGTATTAATGGAATTGATATTGCTAGTATGGAAGGGATGCTTCCTCTTCAGCAATATCTATTTGGGCTGTGATCATGGGAGCCTGGGAGATGCACAGTTAATCCCAAATTGCTGCTAATAAAAAAAAAAAAGGAAAGTGACACAGTGATAATGGTGCTTTGATTGTCCCTTTTTTTAAGTGCCAAATTGCTAAAGGAACATTCCGAACACTATAACCACTATCGCCTTCTTGTGTAAGTCAAAATGTCTGAGATCGGTTTCACAATTTGCCTGTGGTCTGCTGGGCTCCTGTCACCTCTACCTCTGGAGCTTGGGAGGATCGTCTGTTTCTCCCCTGCATTAAGCCTGTCAGCGGATTACGGTCCCCGGGTATGTTGTTGAACTGTTTGCAATCAGTTTAAATACGTAGCATGGGAGGGGAACCATAACAACTACAGGATGCTTGGTGTTTTTCTTCTTTAATCTTGTACTTTGTCAGTGATTTAACTGACAGATTACACAATTCCAACTTTTCCATATGTTCCTGTTATGTGTGTGTTCTTTTAATATTTACAACCAGAAATATTACACTTTTTCGAGAGGGTTGATGGTTTTAGCTTGGCAAAACCTTTATACAATTGAGTAAAATAAATATATATTGTACTTTACATTTCTAGTTATTGAGACATTATAGAATTCTATAACTCATTATTGGCAAATATACAACTTGCTTTTTCCTGTAAATTTACTACTGCCATCACACTTTCAGCTTTAGCCACTACATTTCTTTTAGTGTATTTTAGCATCATGTCTACAGACTTTTCAACCGTGCATGAAATAAATGATTATTTTACAATTTGTAAACATTTAACACTACTGTGTGGATTGTCACCTTGCTAAAACTTTTTTACGGATGTACGCTTTTAACACTACTGTGGTTTCTTCTAGGCAAACATCGCAGACTTTGGAGAAAATCAGTGGATTACGTGTTTTCAGGAGTCTGCAGAAGCCATTCTTGGCCAGAATGCTGCTTATCTAGGAGAACTAAAAGATAAGGTATGCAGTTTTTAGTGTCGAGAGGTATCCTTCTAAACTTGTGTAGAGAAGTGTGTTGAGCAGAACACTACCATTTTTACTGCACAATTCTGTGTAACCTCCTTTACAGTGCATTATGTACCATTAGTTTAGTACTAACCCACTAACAAAAACTATTTGAATAACTGCTATGTAAAAATAAAATCTTTCCCCAGTTGCCCATACATTGCAGGAGTTCTATTTTTAGCCTATAGATTCTTCCACTTTGCCTTTCCAATACATTATTTTACATGTAAGATGAATCAGAAAATATCACAAAAGTGTCATGTGTGGAATTTACCAGCCATTTGTAATGCATTAAAATGTACCTGAGCTGATGCGAGGTCTTTCAACATGTTCTGATCTTTCTCCTTTTAGTCTGCAAACCTGCCAGCATACAGTGAGCATTAGAATTCTAATTCCAGTTGTGTATGCATTTTGCATTGTAGTTAAAGGAACACTATAGTTTTAGTAGTACAAATGTGTGTATCTAACTCTTTAGTGTCCCGTTAGTTTTTATTATGATGCAAATTCCAGTTTGTTTTGGATTCATTCTTTTTTATTTATGGTGTCTAAAGCATCCGGTTGGCTTCTTTTATGTAACTAGCTAAAGAAAACAGTGGTTTATTTAAAGGCACAGTTTTTTTAGTTTTTTTGTCTGCACTTGGCCTTGAGCTTAGGTATGAATGATTTGCAAAATGCATAATAGTTTCTGGGAATAACTATTGGTTGGAAAGCGCTAATAGCTCTAAAATGACATATTTTTTTTATTTCTGCACCACACTTTAGGTGTGATTTCATCAATCCAAGTTGGCATCAGGGTGTAGAGTTTAAATGTGTTCCAAGCAGGAAATGACTAAGAAAACGTATTTCTTTAGAAGCACAATCAAAAGTAATACTCTAACTCATAACTTGGCAACTTGTGTGTTGGGTTTTATTTTTGTCTGATTTGAGCTTTCAAGTACGTATTTTAAAAAATATATATATATATATAATATATCCTCATGGTACAACTAATGTTGGAAGCTTCAGTCATGGTGGTGATGTTTGTAAGTATCTCATGTGAGCAGCTACTAGCTACCTGGAGATGCTATTTTTTGGGGGGGAAAGAAGTCTGTTCGAGAAAGGTTAAGTGTTGATGAGTGCTGTATCACAATAATCATTTCATCCTGTGGCCTGCTTTTACTCTAAAATCTTGTAATGCTGGACAACAACTCACTTAATTGTCTGTGAGTCTAAAACCGACAGAAAATTGCTTGCACTAAAGTGAACGACATCTGGGGAAACAGACACCCCTTGCTTTCAGATTGTCATATTCTGTCAGATCCTCCGTAATTTCGAATCTTTGTATATTCGACTTTCCGTAACCTCAGCACTGTAATCGTATTGCCTTCTTACTCTTATGTTTTCTCATACCTTTCTCTTTGTGTTGGTACAGAAGCTGCTTTGTT